GAGCCATTTGTAGATGGCCTTGGTCGGATGTGTCATGAATACGCGGCCCTTGAAGTTGGTCTTCGCAAGTACATAGGGTAGAGAGGCAGCATGGTCGACGTGGAAACTAGCCTGATGTCAGCATGCTGGAGGACGACTGGAGGACTCAGGGTGAGCCCGGAAGAAGCGCCCAAAGTTGTAGATACATTGGTGGGAACCAGGGAGGGGCACATCATCGAAGTCGAGCGGGAGGAAGCAAATTATATTCCATTCATAGTGATATACAAGTCGCTGTATTGCGAGTGCCCTTTGCGCGCTCATGGTCCGACTCCAGTGATGCGCCGAACCCCAACTACCATGGCAAGCAAGACGCGCGTATACATACTGTGAAATTAGTAGCACGTCTACGGTGCTAAGATCGAAATCATCGTAGAATGGCATGGCGGACAAGCCTTCGTGTGCGGGATGCATACCGGCATCAAGCTGTCCCTCGTTAGTATGGTTGCCGTAGAATATGCGAGTCCTGAATGCGCACCATGACGGTCTTGCCCTTGTACTGGATGATGTGACACGAGCGGCCGACCTCATTACCGCCTCCTAAGCACAGGAACATGAGCTCGTCGGAGGGATCTATTGGGTCTTCATCCTCGGGCGCCATCGCCGTCGCCTTTCTCTTCGACGCCATAGTTGTGTGGGTTGCGATGTGGATGTGTTACTAGGTGGTATACGGGCGACGGAGGTGAGGCTACGGGGTTGGTGGATGCCCAGGTGGTAGCCGAAGAAGAACGCGTAAGATATCTATGAACCGCGCCTGGACCTAGCTCATTAATCGTGAATTGGTGTCGCAGGGATATTCAACGCCTCAATGGAAACGCCCAAGGGTGAGAGAGAAGTCGTGGCAGCGTCGAGTGAGAGCGGAGTGGCAGTTGGTTGACCGTTGCGGCTCTCTTTGTCTGGCGCGCGACTGCCAAGACTTTGTCCGTGCTCGTCATTCCCAGATTCATCGTCCGCTCTACCAACCGCGCATCACCAACCCCGACGCGCCTGCCAACTCCACCGACCGCGCCTGCCCACCGAACACGTCCCATCGCAAGCGCTATCGAGCCCCGAACATACTGCCGCCGGATGACGCGCCGATAGAAACCCTCTGCCAGCGCGACTCCCCGAAAGGGACGAGCTGCCCACCATGGCCTACCCGAACAACTACCAGTATCCGCCGCCGGGCCAGCAGCCCCCGCCGCCCGTGCAAACACAGAATCTCGGCCACCAGCAACAGCCGCGCGCCTTCTCACCGCAGAATTACCAGCAGTCGCCGACCGCCCTGTCTCCGACCATGGGCAGCGGCATCCCTCCGAATAAGCGACAGCGCCTGTCGCCAAACCCGCCATCGCCTGCGCCGTACCAGTCGCCTTTTGGCATGCCTGGCGCGCCCCAATACCCTCCCTCGCCGTATACCGCTTCCCCTCAGACGCCTGGCTACCACTCGCTGCCCACCTCGCCCGCCGCGATGCAGCCTCCGCCCTTCCACCAGCCCCAGCCGTATCAGCACCCGAATGGACAGCCGCCAGCGCCCCAGGGCTCTATGCCGCCACCCAAGGTCCCTTATAGCAAGACTGGCGATAGTTCGGAATTAGAAAAGGCAAATGCGCGCGACCTGGACGTCAACAACATTAGCGATGTGCTCACAGGATCTGGTATCGATCTGCGCGCCGAGGAGGACAACCTGCTGCACAACTACAGGAGCTTCAACTCGCAAGCATCGGGCTCCACAGCATCACCACATGCTAGCTTCAATAACTGGAGCCAGCAGTCGGGTCACGGCGCATTCCAAGGGACCGGCGCACTTAGCCAAGAAATGACCAAGGAGCAGCATGAAGCCGAGTTCATCAGGAAGCACGAGCAAGCCGCCAGGATCCTGAACGAGTCAGCCCAGCAGCCGCTGAATGACCCGTTCCTGTCCGCAAGTGTCCTAAGACATCGCATCGCGAAACGTGGCTATGAACACGGTATCCAGATCAACGTTGATGGCTTGTTTGACAAGATCCCAGACAAGGGACAGCAAGAGATCGCACGTACCACAGCAGCTGGTGCCAACGGCGAACAAATCGTAGGCTTGGAGGCTGCCAGTCTACTGAACCAGAACGCTCCACTTGTGGAGATTCTGACGCTGATATCGCTGGCTGCCGAGGAGCGTGTCCGGACCATAGTTGAGGATTCTTTTGCTTTATGCCAAGGTCGTCAAAATACTTCTCATGGCATCATTCCCCCACAGATGCTTGATCTTGCTGTGGTGGATGAGGGCGCATCAGAGAAGATGGCTCCGCCAGTCAACATCTTGAAGACGCCGTGGGAGGCAACAGACAGTGCTGTCAGCCCTACAGCGACAGCCAGCAAGGGTATGTTTGTTTTGAATATTTTCCAATCTATTGCTAATCGACTTAGGCGTCCCCAATGCGGGACGATTACCAACGCCTCCAAGCGAAGCACCCCCGACTCCTCAGCGAACATACCAAAACGTCAACCACGTTGCCATTGCGCTTACGAAGCGTGTAAATGATGACTACAAGTGGGAGCAGGAGCGCCTTCGCAAGCGCGCAAAGCGTCAAGCAGGCGCCTCGGCTTCCTCAGCAGATGCGCCAGCTGCACCAATACCCATGCCGGAACCTGTGACAAAGAAGGCTTTGGCATTTGCCAAGAAGCAAAGTCAGTCAGACGTTGTCGTGTTTGGCAAAGCCAACGAGACCGCCAGTATGGCGCTTGGTGGCAAGAAGAAGAAATACTCGTGGATGACGGGCGGAGGTGGTGGACCAGCATCGGGTGCCTCTACACCACGACCGGCTGCAGCAACAGGTGGCAGTGGCGCCGCTACACCTGCGGTCCAAGCGCCCGAAAAGGCTCTCATGGGCAAGAAGCGCAAGTTCGGCGACACCATTGAGCAGACCGAAACAGGCGCCGGTATCCAGCTCCGTGATCTGATTCATGTGCTGGACAACGACGGAAGAGAGAAGAAGACGCTCACAGTCATCCTGGCGCGTCTCAAGAACACAGAAAAGGATACTAAGCCGGAGGTCAACAAGTCAGCGCCTGCTGTACCTGGCCCAGGTCTAAGAGCTTAGGCTCTATATTATTTGCATTATCAGCGTTGGCGTTAAACGGAAGGATGTCAAGTGAAGGGGCAGAACTTGTGACACATTATTTGCATTATATCCCCAAGGGCTGGGGTAAAACTTTCAGTGACGGATGATGAACCGTCGGATCCTTTGGGCTGGCTTGCGCCAAAGCATGTAGCTGACAGATCCCCAATACCAATATTAAGAGCACTTGTTGTGTATCATCGTTTCGCTTCATGTCTCAAAGTGTGGCACGTAACCATATCGTTGTTGACCTTGGTGGTAGTCAACATGGCCGATGATCTTCGAAATCTACTACCACGGCCATTAGCAAGAATACTAGATTCATCATATGGCGCTCACGGATTTTCTTTGTTGTATCATGCCAACGAGGATTGATGATTTGACTGGCGCCAAGCGCGCTCGTAACAGTGATTCGCTGGGACCACTCCGGGGCTGCTGCCTGCTCCTTCCTAGGCTAGATGCACCGCCCACAAGAGAGCACTCTCCGTGAGTGGGCACCGTTACACCAACATGTACAGCGTGGCGCGCCATCAACGATGAATCACAAAGCATTGGCAGAACTGCTCAATGACCCAAGCTTTCCCCACTACGCTATCAACCATATCATGAGACAGGCATCCTCGCGTGCAATGTCCACTGCTCGAGCGCATCGCACGTTCGTACTACTGACCGCAAGACCTCTACATCTGCTTGAATCGCCTCTCAATACGGGCATTCGCCTTGTATCGCGGCGATCATTTTCCATTTCTACAAAATTACTCAGTCCCACAAGAACAATGCACACTTTCAGTGAAGGTAGGCGGAGTCCGCATGTTTGACATCCGTTGCACGGCGCCGATGTTTACTTGAACGTAGGCCCTGACCCTTACAATTATACGAGTGGACGATGGCTCCGTCATGACGAACTGGAGCGAAAGTCGCGCATTATACAATTCCACTTCGACGCTCTGTGTCGTAGAGTTGTAGCACTATGTCCAGGTGCCAGATCAATCACCTCATATGAGAAGAAGGAAGGCGGAAACAATCGCGTCTTCATATTCCACACTGATAATGCGAAATGCCTCGTTGCAAGACTGCCATTTTCTCAGGCAGGCCCGTCGAGGTATACAACGGGTTCAGAGGTCGCGACTATAAAGTATCGTACGTTCCTTCACAACAGATAGCAACAGAAGAAGCATGACAATGAGATTGGCTGACCTTACCTGCAATTAGTGCAAACCAAAACCAGTATCCCTATTCCCAAAATACTGGACTGGAGCGATGACGCTTCCAACACTATTGGAAGCGAATACATCATCATGGAACACGCACCAGGCGTCTGCTTGGCTTTGAAATGGCCAGACATGACAGAGGTTCAGCGAGCCATGGTCATGAAACCCATTTACCAAAAACTGAAAGAGGCTGCCAATCTTGAATTTCCTGCATATGGCAGTCTCTACCTAGCCAACACTCCACATATCAAAGACTCTGCGATACCCCTGGAACCAAATTTCTGTATCGGTCCTAATTGCGAAACCATGTATTGGGATTGTGAGCCCACAGAGCCGAGGCACTACCACGCCGTCAACCGAAATCAAGGACCTTGTAAGTTACGGTTCATGTAAGCAAGTTACCAAAAGACTCATGAGATATATAGGGCCCGATCAATCCGCGTATTGCGATGGTCTAATCGACGCAGGGATTTCGAGACTTCCGCCAGATACGGTTGGCTCGAAGCGACCACACTATCATGGGTCCGTTGAAGACCACAAAGCCTTGTTGGAATACTGTCGCGCAGTGATACAGAAGATGATTCAGGATCCTTCCATAAGTATGATGGCACAGCCCACCCTATTTCACCCCGACTTGAACATGAGAAATATATTCGTTTCAGAGGAAGACCCGACTATGCTTACAGCGATAATCGACTGGCAGTCATCGAGCATAAAGCCAGCATTCTGGTACATGCACGAGACACCTGATTTTGCCCGCAAAATCCCCGATCCTTCCGATGAAGACAAATTCGAGCCCGAGAGCGAGAGGCGCACCAAAGCCTTCAGTTTACTGGTTCGCTCGCTCCTTCCACCCGCAGTGTTAGCGCCTCTGGAAATAGACGAGGCCTACTTTCGGCCTTTTATGTATGGTCATCGCACCTGGGTACATGGCGCTGCTGCCTTTCGAATAGAATTAATACAGACAGCACGGCGATGGAAGGAGCTAGGTTTCGAAGGAGACTGTCCTTATCCTCTACCCAGCCCTGAAGAGTGCGCCGTACATTTTGAAAGCTTCAAAAAGTTTGAGCGGGATTACAAGGCCAAGAAGTTCCTCGCAGGTATGCTAAACGTGGGGCTTGATGGGTGGGTGCCTCCAGAAGAGTTTGAGGCATTGAAGCAGGCGAACAAGGAGTTGTTTGCTACGATAGTAGAGGATAGTCGAGGTGCGGAAGGGTCTGAGAATGTGGAGGCTGAGATTAGGGATTTTTGGCTTTTTGATCTGGAGGACTAAGCGATGCAAATAGCACTGGTCGATCACGATATGCAGCATTGTAGGGGAAGAAGGCATGATAAGGGGTCCTACAAATGATGTTAGGAGCTAATACTGAAATTGAATCACCCAGTGCTCACATGGTATATAAGAATCACTTCAATAATCTTTGCTCTCTCTTCAGAACGTGTGATAAAACCTTTCGTCTCTGTAAGGAATGTGCTATGACATTACAACGGATGGTGTGACTGACGATAACCGATGAAGCGAAAGGCTGAGACTGAGCTACTACGTTTCGTACGTCTAGAATAATCCGTGTACCGGCATCACATCATTGAATACCTATCCGTGCGCATATTGCACGCTCAGTTTCCAGTCAAAGTGTAAACTGCGTCAACGTTCAGTTTTGAACCACTCATGATTCCCGAATTACATAGCCACCACATACGCAAAGGTACTCCTCATCAAATGAGAGAGATCGCAATCCTCAGAGTTGAACGTGTCCAAGGTTGGTGACCCCAATTTCCTCGTGATGACCACACAGCTTGGAAGCTCATGATCGCATAGAGGCTGGATACTCCAACAACGACAGGAACTCTAGTCATAACGTGTATTTGTACGCGCAAGCTAGAGCAAAGGCCCGCGCATGAGCCGTCAGTTCTTTCAGCTACAACACTTATCCAACACACGTTTTCGGGCCGACTCGTCGTGACTGCTTCTTCTCGTGCGCATAGACATATATACACCACTCAGAACATCATGATAGTGCGACTGGATACGACCTGACTCCAAGGTCTCAGGTCTACCTCAAGTCTTGGGTCATCTTCCGTGTTGACTTCCCCGTATTCATGGCAACTCACACTCATGAGCATGCAAGACTCAAAGCAACCTCCGTGACGAGTACGTACTCACTGGCAAGAAGAACTACAGTCATCGAAATGATAGTATAAGAACGATGGCTTCTCACAAGATGCCGAGTATCACACATTCAGCCTCTCATTCGCAAGCATCTTCAATTCCAAGCCTTAACTACTATCTATCTCTGTACAAAGACCTCTTACGCACACGATCACAATGTCCAAGGCCGTCAATGAATGGAAACAGTTGGCAAAGGCACTCAAAGATGGACCCGAAAAGTTAATCAAGGCTGCCCTAGCGGATCCCCCAGCACCTGGTACCCGGATCTTTCCTCCCAACACACCAAAAAAGAACGAGGAATGGGGCTTTCGCGTCGACAGCGGCCATTACAACGAGCAATCAAAGGAACTCAACGCTGTTCTCCAGATTAACAATGAGGCCACAGCTGAAGCTTTGGTGGCCTATCGTGCAAAGCACAAGGCACATGCAAAACTGGCCACAGAGAAGTTCAACACAGCCGCTGAGGACTTATGGGCAGAGTACGAAAGATTCATAGATTCGATGGCGGATCAGGCGAAGGACAAGCTTGGCTAGAGTGCAGCATGAAGTGCATCAGTGGGGCGGCCCCCCTGGGTTTCTTTTCTTCCCTATCGGTATAGTTGTTTTGTTGTTGGACTCCCCAAGTGTACGAATTCCGTACCTTCATATGCAGACGTGTGCATGAAGATACTGTCAATCATTACTGTACGGCTGGAACTGTAAGCGGCAGGTCCGCTACATATAGCTTAGTATAAATATCACTTTTGCCTCATATTTGCATTCACAGAAGCAAGGCGAAAGGGATGGTGAATCTTCATTGTTGTATAAGAACGAGTTCTCTCGCAAGCGAGAAAAAATCTGTGGTCTAGGGTATCTAGTCCAGTCGAAGTGCTGACACAATCCAAACACAATTACCGTTGGCGGTCTTTGTGACTGCGCTTCCATCTCGTTGAGTCGGCCAAGTCTTGCTCTAAAGACAGACAAACCAATCCTATCCCTCCAAATGCCAATCCGGAACCTCAGCCATAGCCTCCTCATCATGCGCGGGTCGCAGCACCGGCGTCGCGGGCATACGCGGCGCAGTACGTGATCGCAGGTATTGAATCACCCTCAACAACAGCTTGGAGTGTGAAGCGCGTCCCAAGGTGGAGCGGTCTGTGAGGTCGATATCTTCCCATTCCGTCATGTCGATCTCTGGGCTGTTTGCGCGTGAAGAGAAGCCTGATTGTTGCGACTCTGATGTTGGTGCGTCAGAGGACGCGGTGTCGAGGGACGTAGTCGACATGGTTGAATATGTTGATACCGAATACAGTGAAGATTTTGAAGACGATGTCCGCGATGAAGTTCGTGACGATGTCCGTGAAGAAGTTCGTGATGATGTCCGCGATGATGTCTGCGAAGAAGCCCTTGAAGGATGGGCTGACGGGAACGGAGACGGCGAAGAATGCGGCTCAGATGGCATGACGTCGAGCTCGTAGTCTTCGGCGTGTTTTGGTTCTTGAGATTTTGGCTTGATGGTACTCAAGTGCGCGTTGACGAGCTGTGAGAGCAGCATGACTGGAACCTTGGCTGGTTTCGGGTGGTGGTGGATGAAAAGCGTTGTGTGAAGAGTGCTTTTGGAAGGGCCTTGTGACTTTTGTGAAAGACTTGTGTGTGAAAGAGTTTTGTGAAGAGTTGAATGTGGAATTTTGAAATAGTCACGGCGGCCTCTGTTTATATACTCTGATATATTCGGTGAACCGTGGACGTGATGTACTATTTAGTGTAGATATGAGCGATCCATGGTTGTGTCGAAAATCACACTGGCGTGGATTGGCCCATTCGACGCATCTCAGCCATGTGATTAGCATAGATAGAACGAGCAGGAAGAAGTCGTGCTGTGATTATTTCGATACGTAGAAATCGCCGCGCAGGTATGAATTTCGCATCCCACGCTCATCGTGTAGCATTGATTGTGAAGGCAGTGACGACTGGAGTATTCATATGTATTCCAGAACCATGATCTTGTGCGAGCAAGACCTGCACCAGTACTATCCCCAATAAAATGTTAGAACGTCAGTCAGCTTACGATGCTTTAATGTATGGTACTGATGTACCACAAATCAGTGCGAGGAGTTTACGTGGGTCAGAAGCCCTAGCGCGGATGCGCGAACGGTTGCGTCAGGCCAATCCGAACAACGCCGATGACTGCGAACAGGAAGATTTTGATGAGCGCTTTACTTTCGAAAAAAGCGGAACAGTACCCTCGTCAACTCGATACGATGAGGAATATGCGGCGTCGGACGTCAATCTCGAGGATGTCAAAGCCATGCTCGACGACCTATGCCGGGAAGAACATAGGTCAAGCCTGACACGTCTTGACATCGATGAAGAAGTGGCGGACGGAAAGCAGTACCGGGATGTGGCAGCGGCGTTAAGAGCTGATGAGCCAGGCATGGATACCTCAATCCTGGAGCGAATCAGAAACGCAGACGAACCAAGTGACGAAGTATTCGACGACTTACTTGCTCCGTTGCGTTCGGAGCCACAACAATTGGGAACCGAGGAGTCAGAAGAACAGATGTTAGACGTAATACTCACATGGAACAAGCGCATTGCCGATGAGCGTAATAGGGACTCGACCGAGCGCCAGGCTTTTGTTGCTGCTCTCAGGGAAAGAGTGAAGGTTGTCGACAAGATTTTGGCGATTGTCAGTGACAACAGAAATAGCAACCAGGACAATGAGACTGGACAGAATGGCATCCTGGAACCTTCTCAACGTCAATTACTGAAAGCCATCCACGCATACCGGCCAGAAACCCAAGGTTTCAAGACTCAGGATCCGTTTAATATGCTCATCGTTATGTTAGCGCATATCCGGCAGAAGGAGTTTGAGCTTGCCAATAAGGACGATGGCATATACCTTGCTTGCAAGGTGTTGAGCGGACAAGAACAACTGGAGCACCGATTCGACCGTGAGAAGAAGAGACGTGCGTACCAAAGGAACAAAAAGAATGCAGAGGAAGATGATAACAGGGAGGAAGTAAAACGATGCGAGACGAAATGGAGAGCCTATAACAGGAAGCTGGCAGAAAGAGCGCGACAAGGACTAATGGCCAAGATCCAGTGCGCGCGGAACGAATTGAGAAAAGCCGAGATCGACGAGCTGCTGGATCTGGCTGTACTTCGATCAGCACAGCCACGAGCCTCCAGAGAAACTCATCCGGGTGTCTACACTCCGTCGTTGGAGGAGATATTGGACAAGTGCGCCCAAGCAGACGACTATGGCAATCTCAACCATGAGTTCGCAGAGCACTTTCCGCATCTGGAGACTAAGCTGGAAGTGACTGTAAACAATGCGCAAGACATGAAAACAGTTCACGACACGGTTTTGTTCCGAATGGTGAAGCTCGCTGGTGCTGATCTGAAGGGTCTCGATAAGGATGAGAGGAAAAAGGTTATGACGGCGCGCCTCAACGACCCCGTTACGGCGACGGTAATCGAGGAGACACTAAAGGGCGTGACGGACACACGTCGTGCAGCGAAGCAGATGCTCGAGCAGCTTGGGTTGATAGGGCAACCCATGCGTGAATTGCTGGAAGCTGTAACGGCGAAACGCGACGATCTGGCTGAACTGACACGCCTGATCAATCGCGAGGAAAGTCCGAATAGCAGCAACGAGATCCAAGAGGAGGAGTAAGAGGGCGAAAGGAAGTTGGCGATGCTGGCGGAGATAACGCCCTTATTTCCGGTTGTTGAGGTTTCTGATTCCGATCGATCTCAGTACGTCGCTTCATGTATGTCAAATTTTGCGTCTGGTAAGGCTGAACGCCAGCGGTGCCTGGCTTGAGCGATGTAGAATAATGCGCAATGTTAGTACTGCTATAGCACCAACCTGCCCTGCGCATCGGAATTCGGGTGCGGGATTAATTGACACCGGTGGCACGCACTAAGGCGCGGTAATGTGAATGGAGGGTGTGCTGCAGGGCGGATATCCGGATTGCAGTCGGGAAAGAACGGGTCCAGCGCCAAGCACAAAACTTCTCATCAACTATCGCGGCTTTCTAATCTCCGCCTGTCCATCTTCACCACCACCAAACCTCTCCACTCCACTTCCTTCGCTTCTACCATCCATACCAGCGAAATGGCCACCTCTCCTCCCCCCACCGCCACCGGCTCCAGCAAGGTCGATGCCGCAAAGGCTAAGCTTGCGGCCGCTGACCCTACCGCGCCCACTGGCCTGGCCCTGTACTCGCGATTCGCTTTCGCCGGTGCCGTCTGCTGCTCCGTCACCCACGGAGCCCTCACACCCGTCGATGTGTACGTTGTGTCGCCCCCCAATGGCTCGGGATGATGCCAATGGCTGCATCGCACACGCTTTGCGACAGTTGACAGGTATCGAAAATGACGACAGAATGCCAAGCTGACATGTGCAACAGCGTCAAGACCAGGATACAACTTGACCCCGCCACCTACAACACCGGTCTGATCGGTGGCTTCCGCAAGACCATCGCCAATGAGGGTATGGGCGCTGTCTGGACCGGTTTCGGTCCTACCGCTGCCGGTTACTTCCTCCAGGGTGCCTTCAAGTTCGGAGGTTACGAGTTCTTCAAGCAGCAGTCCATCAACCTTGTCGGCTACGAGACTGCCGCCAACAACCGCACTGCCGTCTACCTCGCCTCTGCCGCTGTCGCTGAGTTCTTCGCCGATGTCGCCCTCTGCCCTCTCGAGGCTACCCGTATCCGTCTCGTCGGTGACCCAACCTTCGCCAACGGTCTCGTTGGTGGATTCTCCAAGATCCTGAAGACCGAGGGTGTCGGTGCCTTCTACTCTGGTTTCGGACCCATCCTGTTCAAGCAGTATGTACAATTCCTCTGGTTGGGAGTTGATTTTTGGCTAATCATCCATCAGGGTCCCCTACACCATGGCCAAGTTCGCCGTCTTCGAGAAGGTCAACGAGGCCGTCTACTCCGTCGTCGACAAGAGCCAAACCTCCAACGGCATGCAGACCGTCTACAACTTGGGCTCTGGTATCATTGCCGGTTTCGCCGCCGCCATCATCTCCCAGCCCGCCGACACCATGCTCTCCAGGATTAACAAGACCAAGGGTCTTCCCGGAGAGGGAACCACCTCCCGTTTGATCAAGATCGCCAAGGAGCTCGGTCTCCGTGGCTCTTTCGGTGGTATCGGTGCTCGTCTTTTCATGGTCGGTACCCTGACCGCCGGTCAGTTCGCCATCTACGGTAAGTTCCAAACATCCCCGAACTCCCTAAAGCTCTTTCTAACACCCAGTAGGCGACATTAAGAAGGCACTTGGTGCTACAGGGGGCGTAGAAATTGCTAAGACTAACTAAGTTTTCGTCTTGTGCGATGCGGAGAGAGTGACGGAGGAGATGATACCAAGACAGCCAGGACAGCGGGTCTCGAGGTGGACTTGTCACACAAAAAGTCTGTCTTTTCTTGCATAATGGCTGGCATGGGTTTGTTCGATATCACATTTCTTCTATGTGTTTTGCGTTTATTTGCAGTCATTCAAGTTAGATCTTGCTTCGCTTAGACGGCGATTTTATGTAACAGTACGATCGAGTAGGAAACATACTGCACAATAGACCCAACTCATAATGTCCAAGCATTGCATTCA